TCTCAATTAATGTTGCTGTTACATACTTCGTATTCTACTAACGAATCCCCCAATGCCTTATCAGGAAAGTTTTGCATTTAAATTATTAATTTAATTTCGGCAGAAATTACAATTGCAAATGCTGTCTTTACGAATACTTGACCCAAGTTCCAATGACCTTTACCCACATGGAGAAACACACTTAATAAATGCAGAATACTCCGTAACATTTTTCATTTCAATGTCTGTAGGATCCCTTGCAGCACTATATATACATGTACAACACCATTCCTTGCAACACGTAAACCTCAACAAACCTGCAAAAATGGTTTGGATGTAGAGCATGAAACAGAGGTGTTAGAGGAAATTCCGAATCCGATTTTTGATATAACACTTTTTGTGGTGTTGAAGGGCCAGGACATTGTTGAGAAAAAATGATGGATATGTTTAGTATTTTTTTTATTATTATTATACTGATCGTTTTAAAATACTTCACCACCACAGATATTATCGGAAAAGGTTAACAGTAATCCAGTGCTGAAAATGGTTAAGATTTACTCTACGAAAATGCTGCAAATACCTCTCGCAGATTATGATAATAGATGATCCTATACTGTGAAAATAGAACGAGTATTTTCAAGAGAAAAGTATTAGGAGTATTTGAAGTGCATTTGAATAATATTTTTTTTTGAAAAAAAGGAAGTAGGTGCCAATACATCTAAAATAAAATAAAATAAAATAACACACATTTTCGTTGTCGACATTTTTGTGTGGCATATGTGAAATAAAGTAGTGTTCATATTTTTCTAAAAAAGAAAATATCACATAGATCATTGGACTAGTTTCTTTCAACAAAAAAACATTGGAGTAGGTCTTTTTAATGAAATCAACTTTTAATTTAAGAAAATATAAAATAACATCGTTTAGAGTATATTATCTTAACATAATGTTACATATTTTCGTATACTACTGTCTTTCAAAAGATTATTAGATGATACAAAATTATTAGATGATACTCCATATAAAATATCAGCTATGTGATATTTCAAAAAATAATACTACATACGAAGTTTGAAACCTGCTAGGCAGGTAAGGGTATGAAACTCAATGGCGAGAGTATTAGCCTTGAAATAATAAAAAAATGAAAAAAAAAAATAAAAATAAAAAAATAAAAATATACAACGTACGAAGTACTTCGAATTATTTGATAAGTTTAAAGAATGAGAATTGAAATGGTTAATATAAATGCATGTGTGACCACACTTTTACGAAGTCGTATGGGAAAAGACATTCAATTATAACTACTAAAGTGATGGTAAAGTGGCCAAAACACTTTGAGGGGATCTCGAGATCAAAGCTGATAAAAAATCTCTAAAATGGTAGAATATTCGCAGGTTTTTAGTAATAACTACTAAAAATACGAATTGATCATTTACTCACCTACAAATTAAGGAAATGAAATATACGTCACACAGAACATCCAAATTGAAAATGTATCGGGCTACTATTGAGATTGTGGTTGTACTTCGCAGTCCTCACCCGTCTTGCATGCAGAGACCGTTTGATCTCCGGGTTTAGCCGATGAGGTGATGGGTTATGATGCGGCGCTGGTAAGCCGTACTTTGGTCGATAGCTTAGCCGATGGGGTGCTGGGTTATGGTGTGGCGGTGGTAGGCCGTTCTTTGGTCGGTGCTTAGAGAAAAGTGTACGAAGGAGAACATAATTGAACCGTCTAGAAGGGCCAAGCAAACCCTACAAAAATAGTCTATATAGATTGGTTTCTTGGGCCTGCCTGTATTGTATATATATTGGGCTTTCGTAATACTCCCTCGTCCCATAAAATTCTTCTCGCTTTCCTTTTTAGGTTGTCCCAAAAAATTCTTCTCACTTTCCTTTTTTGGACAATTTGTATGGTTCACATTCATTTCACTTTTTTCCTACACAACCACAACCACACATTTCCACTTTATTCTACTTTCTTAATCTCCGTGCCAAGTCAAAGAGGGAAGAATTTTCTGAGACGGAGGGAGTATGTGTTTTTTTAGTGAATCGTAATATGTATATTGTGTAGTCTGTTTTGCATACAATTGCTTATTTTTTGGAAAACATAACTCAAAATATTATAAGGTCAACCATAAACCAATATTCAAATATGCTTTATAAATACAAATTTGTGATAATTGACTGCTTATGTACCCAAAAATATAAAATATTACGTAGTATATTTTCTCCCTAAAAATATTATTATCTCAAGTTATTGAAAAATAATTTTTACTGCTCACATTCCGAAAAGTTAGTCAAATTGATTTTTCGTAGTAAATCCCAATCAACTTTGACCTTTTCTATTTTTTATCCAAAATGTTTTGAATATTAAAATTAGAAATTCTATACAAATATAATAATTAAAATCATTGATTTACTATTTCATAGTAAATTAGATAATGTGTGCTTAAATATATTTGGAAAGTTTTTTTATTAGATAATGTGCTTAAACATATTTGGAAAGTTTTTTATTTCAAACCGTGAGATAAAGAAGCATGTGAGGCCCAAATAGTAGTTGATGAATCAAATCTGCTAAAAAAAGAACAAAAACCCCGCTAAAACCTTTGGAATAAAATATTTGTTTCTTAGCAAAGAATTTTTTATTTAAACTATGAGGAGAAATTATGAGATAAATCTATTTAATTGGTAATTTTGTATGGACTCTCACCGGCCATGTTATAGAGAAATAAAATTCTTGGTATTCACGGCTCGAACTACATGGTCTTAAAAGACACAATTAGTGTATTAAAAAATACTCCGTAATTGATAAAATATTTGAGTAACAAATAAATCAAAGAAAAGTTAAGTCGTGAAGGGCACTTATCTATTTCTATCATCATCGAAATCGATATGCTTAAGCACATCAATGGCGTTTAATGACTTTTAAGCAAATAATCCACTATTTTGCAAAACAAACTTTGTGTATATTCAAGTGTATGCATTCCCCTAGCTAGGGGAGGGAGTATGAGATAAATATTGAGGAGGCGTTGAATTTTAAGAGGAATAGATTGACGGGTGGTGGTGTTAAGATGAGTTGGCTTACATTGAATCCTAAGGAAAATCAGTATATATATGGTTGTTGGATTGATAGATGGGCCTGTATATTGGGCTAATTCAATTTGTTTGAGAGGAAAAGTGATTTTTTGTCTAATCGGCTGCATGGTGATTTTTTATATAGATTTTTTATTCAAATCACAAAGAATATTGTTGCCATTTTATATATTAGTATGAATAATAGTATATAATACATAAAATGTCTTTTGAAGCTTCATTTATACTAAAATGATATTGAATTAAACAAATTCATGAATTTGATTGATATGTTCATCTCAAATGTGCTCCAACCCAAAGTAAAGAAACGTATATTTAAATGCAGTCGCCAGGATATTCTAAATGCTACGATTAATGCTTTTTACCTGTGGGGTCATTGTGAAGTATTGAGATTGACCAAGAACATGAGATTGGAAGATCCAAGTCAAGCTGTAGACCGTGAAGCAATAAAGGAGTTCTCGGAATGGATAGCTTCTATTGGCGATGGTTTGGCCGGAGATACTAATGACGGCTCTGTTTCGATTGAAATTCCTGAAGATCTTCTTCTACCGACTTTAGGAAATCCAATTTCCACTATTGTTGAGAGTACTTATCTTGAATATCCAAATGTTTCTCAAGACTTCAGTTACTTCAGAGAAAGAGCTATTTTAGCCCCCACTTTAAGCGTTGTGGATGAGATCAATGATAACATGGTTTCACTTAATTGTTCCGAGCCATCTAGAACATATTTAAGTTCAGACAGTATATGCAAGTCCGATTCAAATGTTGATTTACCTGCAGATTTGCATACTCCTGAATTTTTAAATAAAATTCGCCTTCCTGGTGTACCCAACCATGAACTCACGTTGAAAGTGGGCACTCCTGTGATGCTTTTGCGAAACATAGATCATTCTATGGGATTGTGTAATGGTACTAGGCTCATTATCACTAAGCTTGGTGACCATATTTTGGAAGCCAAAGTTATCACTGGCAAAAGTATGGGTGAACACGTTCTCATTCCAAGATTATCACTAACTCCTTCAGATGTTAGACTTCCATTCAAATTCCAGAGAAGACAGTTTCCGATAATGGTTGCTTATGCAATGACTATTAATAAAAGTCATGGTCAGTCTCTCTCTCATGTGGGGTTGTTGAAGAAGCCAGTATTCTCTCATGGTCAGCTTTATGTTGCGATTTCCAGAGTGACCAATAGGAAAGGGCTGAAAATTTTGTTGTTAGATGGTGACGAACAAAGCACAATACACACTACAAATGTTGTCTACAAAGATGTTTTTCAAAATTTGTAGAACTAATGTTTATTATTCAAATGTAGTTCTCCAAATTGATGCAATGAATTTTTTTGAGAATGTTTATTTAATCATATGTATTTAAGCTTTTTGCCGTGCATCGCACGAGTGAGCTACTAGTATATATATAAAAGAGAAACTTTTTAAGAGCATATAGAGCGCCACATAACCCTGGCATCCTGCCATGTCATCATATATAACAATTATTTAATTACATTCTATACCTTTTTTTATTACATTATGTTTTTATTACATGTTGATATGAAAATCCATCTTATTTGGTAACTTTATCAACTTCAAATCCAACGTGCATGTAAGCCATATCTTAATTTCTCATTTCCGAATTTAGAAACAAAAAAGGAAGCTTAGCCTATACTTTGCCATATTTAACTTTTAACTAGTATTCTACCCGTGCGATGCACGGGAAATAATTACATTCAAAGATGTATGGTATAAGATATAAAAAAAATAGTGGCACAACTTCAAAATTTTAGTAACATTTTGTACATACATAAGAGTACGATGGAAGTAGTAATATCAATATAAATACAAATGAACATTTATAGAACCTGAAAACAAATTGTCTTACAAATTTCGGAATATTTCCTTAAATACAACGTTCATCGTTACATTGGTACTTTTCCCATCTGTGTCACATATAGCTATTTTCAAACCAGTGGGATTAGTGACACGTGAAAGCGCAACGTATAACTGACCATGACTAAAAACAGGTTTTTTTAAGACTAATCCAACATTGGACAATGATTGTCCTTGACTCTTATTTATCGTCATGGCATATGAGACGATCAAAGGAAATTGTCTTCTTTCAAACTTGAAAGGCAATCTCACATCAGATGGAGTCAAAGACATTCTCGGTATCAAAACCTTCTCACCTGCACTCAATCCTGTCAAAACTTTTGCTTCCAAAATATGCTTACCTAATCTGGTAATAACCATCCTGGTCCCATTACACAACCCTTGAGAATGATCAAGGTTCCGCATTAGCATCACCGGTGTTCCAACTTTAAGATGCAGTTCATGATTTGGAACTCCTGAAGCCTTAATACCATTCAAAAATTCTGGAGTATGGATGTTGGCTAAAAAGTCAGGATTTGAATCTGATTTACACGGGCTGTCAGAACTAAGGTAGGTTTTCATCTCAGAACCATTTAAGGAAAGCATGTAATCATTGATGCTGTCAACAACTTGGAGGGTGGGGGCCAATATTGCTCTATTTTTTAAATAGTTGGGATCTTCATGAACGGAATCAAAGGAAGGATAAATACAATCAACCATTTTTGCTATAGGATCGTCAAAATCTTTTAATAAAAATTCATCTGGAATCTCAATCTCCACAAAACCATCATTTGGTCCTCCAATGGTGCCATCACCAATGCTTGCAATCCATTCGGAAAACTTTACCAAATATTCTGTTTGATCGTTAGCTGGCAAATGAAGAAGTCTCAAATTTTTAGTTAAACACATGACATGTGTATGCTGCCACAAATAGGAAGAATTTATAGATGCATTCACAATATCTTGTCTGGTTCCCTTAGGTATGACAGGTAGGATTTGTCTGAAATCTCCACCAAACACTATTGTCTTTCCACCAAAGGGTATTTCAAGACTTCTTGGGTTTTGAAACCGCAAAATATCACGTAGAGTTCGGTCTAAAGCTTCAAAGCAATGTTTATGCACCATTGGAGCTTCATCCCAAACTATAAGCTTACATTTGACCAGAAGTTCAGCAAGAGCACTACCTTGTTTTATATTGCACGTAGAATCTTCATTGGGATGGATTGGAATCTTAAACCGAGAATGGGCAGTTCGACCTCCTGGGAGCAATAGCGACGCGATTCCACTCGATGCAACATTCAATACTATCTCTCCTCTGGAACGTATAGCAGCAGAAAGAGTCGTCCATACAAAAGTTTTTCCAGTGCCGCCATACCCATACACAAAAAAGACTCCACCTTTATTTGAATCAACAGCATACATTATCGTGTCATAAACAGTTCTTTGTTCCACAGTTAGGTTACCCAACAGCTCCTTCTGCTCCTCTACCAACTTTGCTCGATCATACCTCAACTCATCATACACCAATCGATTGGTATTTTTTGATAAAAATCTGGTATCAGGACATGGCATGCAATGGAATTCTTCCAAACTTTTTCCACAATTGCGTAACATCTTTTGAATTTCATACAAAGCACAATTCTTCAATTCTTCATCCGATAATGTAAGATCTACAATGAATAATTATAATGATAAAGACATTTGTATAATGAAAATTTCAATATACGGAAAATAACATACAAATATACCTGGATGATTAAGCATCACTCGCTGCTTGTGTAGGATATCTTCGGATAAAAAAACCCAACACTTTTCCCAAACATCTTCTGGTCTACTTAAACAATCAGCAATTAACAAAGCTACAAACAATTTTCGCAAACAATGTGCTGTTGCCCAGAAACTTGCTTCTTTAATTGCATCTATATATTCCTTATCATCGTTTAGCAGACCTAAAGCGTAGCAAGCATCACGAAATGTGTCATATTGGACACCATCAACCTTCTTTATATCTTCAAAACATGTTGGTCCACGAACAACATTCAGAAGACATCTAAGATAGAATAATTCACCGCAAGCTGGTGGCACATAAAATAATCTTCCAATAGCAAAACCTCTCTTTCTCGGAACCCACTCTCTAGTAGCTCGCTTCCATACAAATCTAAATGGCATCTCAGCATAAGTCAAGTTTCTTGCTTCAGGGTATATCTCATTTGCTTTGAACCAAGCAAGAAACATACTTTCTTTCACACTTGGCTTATCAAGAACTTCATCTATGGGCTCTAAGTCGTTAAAATAAACGACTTGTTCATTAGGCAAGTGAAAGCTTAATCTCTCCACACCAACACTTCTATATTGAATCTCAAATCCCAAAGTTCTCCATGCAGCTTCACATGATGAAATGTATCTGCAATCATAATACATTTTCACTTCATCCACATTATCATCAGCATTTTCTCCATTTGCACTTTGGTAGAACGCTGCAGTTATTCTATCATTTCCTTTGTTCACATATTTGAACAGGTATTTGATAGATCTAGACTGATTGCACCACTCCACATTTATGTGTGCTGCATATTTGAGCAATAAATATCTATTATGAGGCACCACATATCTATTATCTAACTCCACTCCATTTTTTGAAATGGTTCTCTGATCATGTCTTCTCCTATACACGGGATATCCATCTTCGTCCAAAGTGGTGTGATCCACAAATCTTTTTGGGAAATGTTTCGAGCATCTATCATCTACCATGCAAGGAGCTTTCTTTCTCAAATTTCCGCATGGTCCATGCATCATAAAGTCTTTCACAGCATTAAAATACTCGGGATCCATCTCTTCATTAGGAATTTCAGCAGAAATGATCTTATCAATGTATTCCGTTGTTGCTAGATCTTCACTTCTCTCAAGAAACAACAAAATGTGGGCATGTGGCAATCCACGCTTCTGGAACTCAATGGTGTATATAACTACAATATAACATTGAAATTTAAAAAGTGATCATTAGTTGAAAAGGATTATTATGAATAAAATTAGTAATTATAATCACATAACAATAATCTTAATTATTAAAATCTTTAATAATTTTTTACATACCTGCCTTAACAGTGCCAAATATCTTGTTGCGACGGAAATCATTGATCAAACCATCTAACTTCATCTTAAAGACTCGACAAATAATATCCGGTCGATCCTCTGGTTTGAGATCCCGCTTATCAAGGTATCGTTGTATTTCTGGCCATTTTGAATTGCACGTGAAAGTTATAAATAAATCTGGATATCCCATCCACCTACATATGGCCATTGCATCTTGATAGTTTTGAATCATATACCTTGCCCCACCTATAAACGTAGATGGGAGTATAATGCGCTTCCCTTGTGCGGCAGGATTTGTGTCACCACGCAATAAAGCATCATTCAGTCCTTTAAACATTTCACATCTCAATTGCCTTTGATTATTGCGAATATACCTTAACCTGCTCGATTCAATCAAAGTATAGCCATCAACAACAAATTGTTGAAATAACTTTTTAGCACGCAATATAATAGATAACTCTGTGTTTCTTTCGTGCAAGCGATATGCAAGGAACTCTCGGATGCTCATCATTTTTCTCGCTCGAGTTTGATTCGACTTTCTATTACATAGAGGTATGTCTTCTCTAAATCCATCTTCCCCATATGGGAATAAAAGTGGATATTGGAGTGCTAAATATGAAGGATGTAATTCATTAATCCGTTGCAACCTCCCATAGCATAAGCTAAAACTCACATCAAAATGATTATAAGGTAACTTCAGTAATTTACAAATATCAATTCCATAATTACCTTTTCACAGTGAGAATCAACATGGTGCATCTTGGATATGAAATCAGATTCCTATATAACATTAATAGAAAAATTATATTACTGTTATAGTATTAATTAAAAAATTGGAAATTAATCAATCTAAACCCAATGGTGAACATGTTCATCATTCTCATTAACATTGAATTTCTCAATAAGAGCTTCATCTCTTGTGAATTTCATCACACTGAAGGCTGAATTGTAGTTTCCAATTTGTTCCTTCTTAATCTGAACCTTGAATAGCATTGACACATCTACAACGGCCTCTATCTCAGCGGGAACATAACTCTCCTGACGTCCACTCTGATAATAATTAAGCACATTTCGACTAATCAGATGCAGTAACTAAGTTACAACAAAAATACTGGAAAAAACGAATGATACTTACGCTTAACATCATGTTTTGACACTCAACTGCGTCCTTTCCAAACATTTCTTGCCCAACGTCATCCCAAATGAGTAAGGGTGCATTTCCAGTAGAGTCGATCACTCGGAGTATCACTTTATACCTATTGCATTTATGCATTAGCCTTGACAACATTTTGATTTTTTTTTGTGTATTTGAATCATAGTTTCTAAAATATTAATAGAGGGGAATTAAAATCACCTTGGAATACCATCAGAATAAGGTTTATCGCACTTGGTGCAGTAAAATTTGGAACTGGTTTTTTCCAGTTTCTTGCGACATTTAGTGCACGAAAGATACCACCAATTTTTATCGCTTTCAATTGCCACAACCTTTGCAGAAATCCAAAAGCTTCCAACCTAAAATCAATCATTTTTATTTATTAAACAATTTTTAATCCTGTTATGCTGTAAACATTAATCATTCACAACAACAATAGTCTCAAAATTACCTCTTGAATCTCATATAGTTCTTCTATTGTTTTAAGTGGTTGTTCCAGACTCTCAAGCTCCTCAGAAATGCTCATTTGTCGGTCTGTAGTTACTGAAACAATGCGTATCGGCTGAGTGAGAACATTCACTTCCTGCAAGCTGTGTAAACACAAAACATGCTATAGTTATATAATTATAATTAACAATAAACACAATCTGGATAAATTCTCAAACCTGTTCTTGAACTCTTGAAACTCAACATCATCTCCATTAATGACAACACGCGTGACATTGTAGTTGGTTGATATTTTTGGTTCACCTTCATTTCCAAATCCAACATCCGTTAATCAGTTTTTCATTTTAACTTACTAATACTAACTACTAATGTGAACCAAAAAAATATAAATTAACATTATTTCAACATTTCAACATTTTCTTCTTCCCAAAACAATGACCTTAGTTTTAAGTGGCAGTTTTATAACAATTTAAAATTTATATGTATTATTTGAGACTCGTATGTATAAACATCAACTTTATAAAGATTGTATGAGACTTTTAATAAGATTATTTTCAAAATCTGCCATTGTCCCTAATGAACTTTCAAAATCTGCCATTTTCCCTAATTAAATATATTTTCAATATACCATTTTTTGCATTATTTTTACTTAACACACTAACCTCTGAATATTCCTGCCCGACAGAACTGTAAAGTCACAATGACCGGTTCAGTCTGATCATCGCCTATATATGGAAGAATTTGATCAACAAAGTTATCCCAAAACGTGCATGACAATTGATTCAACCTGTATTATTTCATAACACTTTCAATTATACATTTGTGCCAAGTAGAAATATGCACTAAAAAGGTAAACTGTAGAAGAAAAATATTAGGGAACCTTGGATCCTGCAAAGTGACCTCTATCAATCTGTGAGGTCTTCCCTGATACATCACTTCTCGAACCGCTTTCTTTGAAACAACCTGTCCAATAACATCTAGTTTTTTTTTACATTACATTATTAGAAAGTTTTTATTATACCATAAAATAAAAAAAATATCTATATTAAAAGTAATGTGCTCACCAAAAAGCTCACTCTCATCAATTATTCTCGCATTCAACAATGATTCAAATCCCTTGAACTTATACGCATGGTTAGGAAATGCATCATCCTCGTAATAGATAACCTCTGTCTTTTCATAAAATATCATCTTAAACTTATTATCCGTTGTCCTACACTTCTTTCCATCAATTGCAACAATGAAACGTCGGACAGCATACAAACTTCGCTCCTTAAGAAGTTGTCTATATTTAGCCATCTGCGACATCCTTATCGTAGCATGAATTCGAGCACCCTACAACGAATACAAATTCACAGCTTCATTAGATGGACAGACTCCACCCATAAATAATAATATTCAAATAAAGAACGAAATTATTACCTCCTTATCATGGAATACACATTCCAATCCTCTAATGTCACCGGTGTCGCTTATGTTTTCGTACACACGAAGCAAACGCAGACGAAGTGCCCAATGTGTGTCGCTAGGCGTAATATCCTTCACCAAACCAAACGTTGGAGACATCTTCAAGAAAAAACAAACAAACATTATAAGAAAAATTACATGAACCGTATGAATAATTGGCTGCAAACAGTTCACTCGTTGATTTATTTGACTTGAAGGATGCAAAAGAACTTGATAAAAAAAATTACGATGAAATAGATGAATGTTTAGCACAGAGCACTTGTTGGCAAAAAGAAGCTTGTTTGGTAGAGTCACTCGATGGGGTATTTATTTCATGAATTTCATTGGATAGCTGCAAATAGTATTAAATGCTTGAATGTTGTAAACTGTGCAAGAATGAGGATCGGCAAAGCAGGAAGCATTAATTGAACAGCCGCATAATCCTCTCTCTTTGTTTATTTGTAGTCATTCGTATTCTACAATAATTGTAGCTGTATGCATCTTATTAAATATTAATTAAAGTATTCTACACACTATTGCTTACTGTGTCAATGTGTCCATATGTATTCCACACGGATGGGACATCCATTTTTTCAGTAACACTTTTTCCCGCCCAACACCCCCTTGTTCTCCCTCTTTGGGACTTTTGTGTTTTACTATATATATAGATATTGATGACCATACAAACTTTACATACGGAGTATTAGTTTAGAATAGCTAGAGACTCTTCATATTTCTTTTTTTATCAATTTAGAATTGTTCAATCGAGAAAAGAGTTCAATTTTTTAAATCATCAAATACAACGAATATATTAAATCAAAATAACGTTCGTAACATGGCAGATAATACAATCCAAGAAAAAGAAGTAAACAAAATGATAAAAAGTCTTATGTCTGCCGTCCGCCCTCGAACCAGACTTAGAATATATCACCTCTGTAGAATCAATAATATTCGCTGATCTTGCGATGGGCTTAACCGATGCTAATAACCTCTGATTCACCTCAAAATAACCACGAATATTAGATTTCCTCTGATTCTTTGTCATGTCATTCAAAAAGTATTTAATTTTAATCTTTAGAAGGTTTTTAATATATATTTTGGAAATGTGAATACTTAGTTTTACATTGTTTTAACTCTCATATTAGCCTCAAAAAATTATAAAAGGGAAAATTTAAATATTTTAAGTAGATTTATGCAACTCACAATAATTTTTTTTGTAAGTAGAGCGATTTTGCAATTAGAGATAGACTAAAAACAAAATAGTGCATATTACAGGGGTGGAAAAAAAGAAATATTTTGCAGGGACTAGAAACGAAGTGTGTTATATTTGTAGGGACTAAAAACTTATTTAAGCCAAGATAGAAAGTATAAAAGGTAAAGATAATTGAATATTTTTAAGGAAAACCTTAATAAAAAGCGAAAGTGTATCAAACATTTAAATACAATCCAAAGAAGAAAGTGTATCAAACTTTTAAATACGGAGGACGTATATTTTTATCTACTTTTATTATATCAAAATTGAAAAACTAAATATACGAAAGTATATCAATAAAGTATTAATCGATCATAGTTGATTTTCTATTGAAAGCACATAGCAATTGTACCTCTTTTATGATAATACGAATGACAACAATGATCAGTTAATAAAATACTGACTTTTTCATTACCAATACTCACAATGAGGTGATACTATTACTTAAACCATTTACCATCAACAAAAATAACATTTGAAATAATGGAGAAAGAATCCCACTCACCAGAAATGTGCTATAGTGCTCTACGTGGGTGGACCTGACATTTGAATTGCGCATGGAAGGTGAAATACGTTTGAAATCCCTGAACTCTTCATTTAAAAAAATGACAGGAAAAATGACAGAAAAACGACTTAACAAACGTCTTAATGAGAATAACTGCTATTTTCCAGCTTAATGATTAAGTCAATTTTTGATTGAATAATTAAATCATATTTCCAATTAAGTCGTAAGTAAACATTACTTAATGGCCGAAAGTAAACAACCCCTAAATTTATTTTGCTTTTGCACCACATTATATATATACACTCACATATATGATTCTGAAAAAATCACATTTAAAATTAACTAAATTAAGTACTGTCCGTGCATCGCACGGGCTTGAAAACTAGTATTAAATATTTGGTTTGCTATCAATCGTTGTGGACTTGTGCATTATATTCAATTTTATTTACCATTTTTAGTTGTATATACTCCGTATTAAATTATCAAAATAAATATTTTTTATTTATTTATTGGGAAAATTCTCTAAATAGGAGTAAAAAGGTTTTGAAATTCTAAAATAGGACTGCAATATTTTTATTCCATAAATAAGAGTAATTACCGTCAAGTATGAAACTCTTTATTAAATTAAACTCCCGCCAATTCAAGAGGGGGCGGACCATCGATCTGTCATCTCCCTTGCTCAGCCATTCACCTCTCCACGTCTGCTCGTCGCCCGTGCCGCCTCCACTACCGCCCTCCACCTATGTTGATCTGCCAAAAACCAATCCTTCGACCTCCTCCTCACTTGCTGGAGTGGGACAACGCTGCTCTACGTCATCCATAGAAGCCGTAGTTATCCTTTTTTGAACCTGCACTTGATGAAAATGCAAAAGAAAATTGATCCACAGAAGTGCGGCATTGCACTGCTGTCGACACACAAGAGAAAAACCTAGCTCTCGACAAGCGAGAGAAAGACCGTAAAACGTACCGCATTCCCCGTCCTTTTCCCACAATCTAGCAAATTGTGAAACAACTAGTCAGGGAGGGAGGATCTGTGGAATACGAACACCGAACTAATGATTCCACCAATATGAATGTGTAACCCTAAGAGAGATGTTGCATGATTGTGTTAATAGTCAATACAATTACCAATTCTTGTGTTATACTAACGCATGTATCACTATTCACATGTTCTACTTTGACTACATTTTATATATCAATATAATAGCAATTTAATTTTTGCAAAATATTGTTAAATTTCTATCGTTATAAGTTTTATAGATCTGATTTTTTTTAATAGAAATGAAATATAATTGGTCAAAAGTTGTGTGTTACCAAATGTGAAAGTGGAAACTTTGCAACTAAAAAGAACTGATGGAGTAGTTCTTAAGAAGTGAGACAAATTAAAGTAGATATTGAATATGTGACTATTTTTGCTCTTTATCGATAGATAATCAAATTGATATTTATTTGAGTATAAAACTCTTGTCGATATATAAAATGTAGTCAAAGTTTGAGTGAAATTAAAGTAGATAGTGAGACAAATTAAAGCAGATAGTGAGTCAATCACGCACTCGGCTCCTACGTACATAAAAGTTTGAGTATCGTCTTTGTGATTTTGTCGATAAAGTGGATAAATTTAAAACAGATTATGTAATTGCTAATTAATATTTATTAGATAAATCAGTACATCGAAAGCAACAGAAACAAAAAACATGGCTTTGTTTGAG